TTGGGTATGTCCTATAACAACATCGGTATGGTGTATGACGGGATGGGTGATTATCCAAAAGCACTTTCTTATTATGAAAAAGATCTTGCAATTGGACAACAATCACTTCCTTCCAATCATCCTGATTTGGCTAAGTCCTATAACAACATCGGTTTAGTGTATGAGAATATGGGCAACTATTTAAAAGCCCATTCATTTTATGAACGTGCTGTAGAAATTGGACAACAATCATTACCAACAAATCATCCTAATCTTAAAATGTATAGAGAAAATCTCGAAGACATGAAAAAGAAATTATAGTTTCTTTCTATATTTTTTTGAAAGTTAAATAAAACTGATGAGAAATGAAATGTGCCTATTGAAAATTTGTTCTTGTTGAGAACACAATATGAGTAGTAACACTCGTCGGCAAGGTAAACAATACATATTGACAAGATATGTATTGTAGAAAAGACCTTCCCAGGTTACATTATTATGTCTGAACAAGTAGAGTTTCGTTGTATTAGATAAGAAAGAAAGATACTTAACAGAAACATAGAAGAATAGGAGGAGAGAAAAAGTTTATTTCATCAATAGAATGAATTATTCTTTCTGTTCCAATGTTAAAGAATAATTCATACCATTGATAAGCTCATTCATATTAGATTTATGATATGATTTGTTATCATTTGTTTAAACTAGATGTAGGGATTGCTAGATATTGAAGGAAAAAGAGAGCATTCATGTCAGATGAGAGGTGAATAAAGGTTAAAGGGAAGTTTTTTTTGTTCTATGGATAATTGAAGTAAATATTTTTTATAAGTTTGTTGGACTAAAGATACAAGTATATGATATTATGAAAGTATAAAATAGATGCTCAATCCACGTTTGCATTGTCTTATTTATAATTTTCTCAACTAAATATCTATCGAATGGAAGAACTGAGGCATCTTATTTTGCATAAGTTAAGACAACATTGGGAGTATATATTAATAATATGTGTAGTACTGGTACCATTTGTAGTTCAGCATTCTGTAATTTTTTCTATACAATAATTGATAGTTTCGATAGTACACAAACACAGTATTGTATTAGTCAATATACACATAAAGAAATTTTCAGTTGTTTCATATTCTCGAATGCAATGTTCTCATCCTAACTAATAATGCAAAAATAATAAAGAATTGCTTCGGTATATGCAATTATTATCAAATAAGAACAAATCATTGTAAGAGTGATCAGAAAGTATTTATGCATATTTCATTTACCAATGGATAGTAAAAATCATTCTGTCAAATAGCACATCTAATTGACTCACTTGAGTTATCTTCTTTTTACCTCTAGATTAATGATTATTTCACTCAATATGTATATAGTCATCTTAGTCTTTCTCTGAATTAGTAACCTCACATGATCAAGTAATATTCTTACATATTCTATTTTTGAGATATTTAGGAATCTATGTTTATCTCTAACATGAATACAAATATCAATTTTACTTTTCCAAATAACATTTAAATGATAAATTCTTATATAATTATTTATTTTTTTTCAATAGATGAAAACCAGTTTTATTCGAAGATGTATTCGAATAAAATAATACTTTGAAATACATACATCATGTTTCAGTTGTACTAATAGTAAGAATAAATTTTCTTCTTACAAATCTTAATGTAAATAATTAGATTAAGATTTCATTAACTTCAAATAACAAAAATGTCTCGATAATATTGACTCAATTGATTCTATGTTTATTGTATGTTACAATAAGTAAATATTTATCAATTATTATAGAAAAAGAAGAAAACTATTTGATGTAATCAAGAGAATCATGGAAATAATTTGTAAAAATGAATATTTTATATGTTCTGTTAAGAGAAATAATGATGTAAAAGGAGGGACTCAGAAAATTAAACAAACAAAATCTTTGTAAAATAGGTATTATAAATGTCAATTACATAAAAAAACATTGCTCACATTTCTATATTTTAATAATTTAAAGAATTAGTTTACATCTTAACGTTTTTCAATCGATTCTACTAGCTAAATCCAAATATTTGAACTTCGTATCGATGTTGAAGATAGCTTTTGTCAATTGTCTTGAAAGAAAAAGAAACAGATATTCAATCGAGAACTAGGATCAGTACGTAATATTCACTTTCAATCGCAGTTTTATTGTATGTAAAAAGTACAAAATACTATATGAATGTTGTTGATAATAATCTTTCTCCACACAGAGTTTAAATTCTTAATATTAAACGATGATGAGAATTTTGTGATGAAAACCTCAAAGTCGTTATTGTGAAATCAATCTTCGCATCGTATCTCGTAGACGAGTCGCGACTCGTGTAACATCTAGTTTAAACATACATATTCATTAATGATGTGTTGTAATCGACGCTGATTCACATTCAAATACTTTTATTATAATGAAGTAATATTATATCTTCATACACCTGATGTTACTGATATCGAACGAACCTGTACTGAGGCATTTTCAGCTATTCTATATCACGACGCTTACCTGTGAGTATTGCGCAAGACAGTTGTTTTTTTTTTGTTCTTTCGAATATAATTTCATAACTTCAAATGAGTTTCAATAGAAATAGAACTTATAAATGTAAAGTAAATGCGGTCCGAAGGCTGATGGGTTATCAAATTCTTGAACCCCTCCCATTAGTCACTCCCATGACCGCTTTTTGCCTTTTAAGATTGGCAATAGTTTAAATTATTCTTCAATATTTCTTTTTCAAATGTATAAGTGTCAAAATTTCTTGAATTTTATATATATCACATCACTGATTATTAGAAGAAAAATATTCAATATATAAGAAACTATAAATTCAATATATTATGCGAAGTTATTCTAGTGAGTTCTGTACATAGAAACCAAGTCGATCTTTCTTGTGTCAATGCTAATTTTTTTTATAAATTCCATCTAACTTTAATAATTCATCGTGTGACCCTATAATTATATAAAAAAATGTTAAGTTTATTTTCTGAAATTACAAAAAAAAATTTAAAACAAAAGACTTCTTCTTTCATTTTTCCATGAGCAATAACAGCTATTTTTTGTGAATTTTGAATTGTTAATAAACAATGAGCAATTGTTAAACACGTTTTATTGGCTATTGCTTGATTTGAAGTTAAAGTACTTATTTTTTTTTTCAATCAGTTAGAAAATAATTCAATTTAATGAAAACAATAAAAATAATCTTTTCGTGATTCATACGAATTTTGATCATAGACAATGTTTAAATCATATCCTCACAATATTTTATACAATTAAATTTTAATATCAATTCAATTGAACATCTCTCAATGTCTTGTTGAAATTTCATTAGATCAAGTATGATAATGTTTTTTGATATTAATAGAATATATATTTGTTGTTATTTAGATGATAATCGATCGAGAAGAATCACAACAGTAATATCAAATCAATATTAATTCATTGTTATTTTTGGAAGTAAACTGATATTTTGAAGAATTATCAAATAATATTTATCTTATTTTTAAATTCTCGTTTTTTTCCCTTCTAAATGATCATCTTAATCGATTTCATCCACATCCAAAGTAAAAACATTGATCAACAATTTTGTTTTGCCAATAAACTGAATCAATACATTAATTATTAAATCAAATTAAAAACTATGATTTCTTCTATTTTCTAAGATTGTAATATGAGGAAGAACAAATATACCTATTTTGATCAAGATATTCCAAATTGTATCGTTTCAGCTCTCCACTACAACAGATTCATGACATATTATTTATCTAAACAACATAAATTGTTTAAAAGTTACAATTCATCAACAAATAATATTAATTTAAATGAATATCAATCGTCATTAAATGGTGACGAACAATATTTTAAAAATAAGTCATTTGATTATTAAAATAATTTTCTAATAACAACAAAAATGAATAAACAATGTTAAATAAACGAAAAATTATTTTAGTAAAGACAGAGATAAATATCTTCTTTTTTTCACAATGAAAGTTTTTTCAAAGTTTTAATTCTAATAATTTATAAATGATATATGACACGCGAACAAATAGTTGGTCAATTTAAAATATCAAATATTCTACTTGTCATTCACTCTATTGAAAGAAAGAAAATTCTCTTAATGCTTAGTTGATGATTCAAGTGGATAACAAACAAAAATATTTTTCGCTCTTTTTCTTTTTTTTTACGGACAAATAGAATAAAAATTTTCTTTCGATTATAAAATCATTCGTTATGTGTTTCTTCACTTTGAATCGTTTTATTTACTTTGGACAGACAGTCATTTTCTATCAAATGCGTAGGTGAAATATATTAAAAAAAACAGAAAGAAAAGAAATCATGAAGAATGTATTCGATGAAAGAAATAAACAGTGTGGCATACACAAGAAGAAGTAAAACTCACAAATACACATTACTCAATTTTTATTTATTTCTTTGATTTTGATTATTTAACTGGTAAGTAATTTATTAGAATGATTTTAAAAGCAAAAGAAAATATAATCAGAATATTAGAAACATTTCAAACAAATGCAGAGTCAGTCGATCTCACTTACTGAATAGTTATCAGTTAACTATTTTCTATCTACTTTACACTTGTGTAATATTCTTATTGATCTTAATTTGATGATATTGTTTATATTTTATATGAGTAATTTGTTTCTTATTGTCCAAACTTATTTATTATGAATTTATTATTATTGAGAATTTGATGAAAGTAAATATAAAAACATCATTATCACATTGTTGAAATGTTAATGCACCTGGTTCGATTTGTTCTGTTCGATTTTATCTTTGAATAGACGAAAGAAAAAACGAGAACTATAGGCTTTTGATACTCTGAAAATATGTTGTATTCATTCATGAGCGTTTTCTTCATAATACAGAAATTGTTTCCTCGAAATCTGAGAAACATACGCAATTCGAACAGTCAGTTACTTTTACTGAATTGAACGATTTCGTCTAGTTTTGGAAGTTAGAAAACATTCTAGGTCGGATCAATTCCATAAATTCTGTGTCGAAATTGTTTACATTTGCCAGTGAGTTTGTTCCTTCACTCTCAAATTAGTTCCTCATCCTTGAATAGTTAAGATAAATGCTCGAAAAATATATTTTGAGTAGAATCAAATTTTCGACTTCGATGCTACTATTATTGACTGCATTCTAATAAAAAATAGGAGTTTTATAAAAATGCAAAAAAAGTTAGTTTTCACAATCTCAGTAGATTCAAATAGAAATCTCAACAAAAACTACTTCTAGTCTTGTCTGGTTTTGTTTCTAAAAACTTTGTGAATCTATTCAAATCTATATATAGATTATGGCTACCGAATTTTCATCATCGAATACCTCAGTTTGTACGAAACGAGCTCTTATCATTGGTAACAATGAATACAGGGAAAATAGTCCACTTCGATATTGTATCAATGATGCTGAAGATCTTGCTGACAAATTACGTAGAATTAGCTTTGAAATCACAGTTGGTACTAATTTGACATATGAACAGATGAATACAATGATCGAAACGTTTAATGACAAGATAAATGAAGGTGATCTTATTCTTTTCTTTTTTGCGGGCCATGGATGTCAATGGAATCATCTAAATTTTCTCATCCCCATTGATGATGATCGAATTACAACAGGTGCTGATCTTGAAGATCGAGCAGTAAATGTACAAGATACGCTTGAAAAGATTATGTGTCGTCATCCGTCAGCAGCTATATTTCTTCTTGATTGTTGTCGAAATAGTTTTGTAAGCGAATCATTAAATTCTAATGGTCTTTCACCCATGCAAGTAGTTGCTGGTTCATTTATTAGTTTTGCATGTGATGCAAATAAAGTTGCAGCAGATGAATCAAGAAATGGTCGAAATAGTTTATTTACATCTCATCTTCTTCGACATATTGATCAACCTTATTTAACTATTGATGACATAATGTGTGAAGTTTGTGATGGTGTAATGAAAGAAACAAATGGTAATCAATGTCCATTCCGAGTATCTTCAGTTCAAGGGAAAGTTTATTTAAATCAACAATTTACAGCTGGTAAGTCTAAAATAATTTTGAATCTCTTTAAATATGGAAAATGCAGAGTGTCCTGAAAGTCATTTAACGAAAGCTTTACTGCTCTATTTGGCCTTGTCAAAATTTTTAAAATTAAATGATAGGTGAATACGCCGAATTTTTTCCGTAAGAACAAACTTCAAAAGTATTGTTGAAACGTATCACTTTTTTCTACAGTATTCAAAAGTCATTGACCAATTCGGGTAATTTTTTGTATTCGAAAAAGAAATGTTCAAATTTTTTTCTTCGTAAATCAACAGTTTATTGGCACACCTGAAATCTTGCACCATGTTCTTAAACTCGAAATTTTGAGTTTAGTAGATGGTGCTAGATTTGGTATGTATCATTGAACTGTTGATTTAGGAAGAAAGTCTTGAAACAATAACATGCCATTGAATGAATCGCTCAGAACTGATAACTATACTACATCTACTCTCGTGTGTATGAATAAGGCAAGGGAGATGATTAGCTGTCCTCTCGATCATCGTCCTAGTCATCTTTAATCAACCCTAATCAACAATCAGCTGTTTCCCCCTTGAATCCAATGCAAACCATCTGACTCAGATTCCACTTGATTTTCGATGTCTATGATGTCGATAATGACAAAGTGTTGTATTTCGATCAAAGAGATAACTCAATTCAATAAAATAAATAGAAAAAATAAGAATTTTTCCATTGAACGAAGTAAATCCTATTCAGAAGCATCAATTCTCAAATCGATTACATCGAAAAAAACGAGACATCTTATTGTTTTGGAGTAGTCTTTTGCAATAATCCACATCCAGAAAGTCGAAAACAAAGACTATTTGTACAATCTCTTCTGGAACTAAATATTCAAATGAGAATCGTCAGTACATCAGAAGAAAACAAATACTGAGAGGCCATATTATTGTTAATTTCTTTTCTACATTTTTCTAGCAATCGCACTCAGAAATATTCATTAACATGAAGCTTGAGTCTTTCATCATATTTAAATGAACTCATTTAATATTAGAATTAAAAGCTAATTCAAATTCAAAACTCTTTTTCAGCTCAAAATAGAAATAAATTATTTACAAACAGAATAGAAAATGTAGAGAGGCAGAACTAGATTATAAAAATAAGTAACATTTCGATAAATATTAGAAATAGAAATCATTTTTTTAGTATTAATTCGATATATTTGTAGAAATTATGAGAAGAAAAAAAGATTTCGATATGAATGAGATTAATTCTTTATACTTTAAAATTTATTTTTTATTCTGATAGACAAAGATTTTCAAATTCGTTCTTACTCATCTATAGAATTGATCAATCTTCTGTATTTGTAAATCAAATATATTTCTTTTTTGTTAAAATAACCAAAAATCTATGCAATTCAAAATTCTGTCTCTTTCATTTTTCATTCTTAATAATATTTGTTACGCAAAAAACCAAAATTGTAACAGTGTTATTGTAGAGTTTTTTACTAGAATGTCTATAGAATTTAGTTTTGCTGATCAGGATTTTATAGAAGAGAAAAAGATTTGTTTGTCTCATTTTAATTAAATCTATAATAAAGAATTCCATTCATATTAAATTATTATCTTAACATCGATTTAGATCAATAAAAATTAAAAAAATATTTTATTTAATTTTCATTTACATTTTATTAAATAAATTTTAAATTAAATTAATTCAAACCATTTTTATTTTCTTATAGTTAAAAATGATACTTGTTTTATTCACATTTATTCATCAATTTTATTCAAATATTTAAAAAAATCTTTTTTTCTTATAGGACAATCAATTCTTTTCATTCATGCTAACATCAACGCCAAATGGAAACAACATGGAATTACAGTTGCTGGAGGAAATGGATATGGCAATCAATTAAGTCAACTTTACTTTCCTTGGAGTATCTATGTTGATGATGATCATCGAACTATTTATACTGCTGATTGGAAAAATGATCGTATTGTTGAATGGGAATGTGGAGCACAAAGCGGTGAAGTTGTTGCAGGTGGAAATGGATATGGAAATCGAAGTGATCAATTCAATTATCCAAGCGACGTGATTGTTGATAAAAAGAATGATTCTCTTATCATTTGTGATTATGGAAATAGACGAGTGGTACGATGGTCTCGTCAAAATGGTACAAATGGAGAAACAGTTATTTCTGACATTGATTGTTCTCGTCTAACAATGGATAATAATGGAGATCTTTATGTCTCTGACTGTGTGAAGAATGAAGTAAGACGATGGAAACAAGGAGAGACAGAAGGAACAATAGTTGCAGGTGGAAATGGGGAAGGAAATCGTCTCAATCAACTTTATCGTCCTGCTTATATCTTTGTTGATGAAGACCATTCAGTTTATGTATCGGATTGTTTGAATCGTCGTGTGATGAAATGGATGAAAGGTGCAGAAGAAGGTATTGTTGTTGCTGGTGGAAATGGTCAAGGAAGTAGTTTAACACAATTGTCTTGTCCTACGGGAGTAATTGTCGATCATTTGGGTAATGTTTATGTGGCTGACAAAAATAATCACAGAATACTGCGTTGGTATGAAGGATATTGCGCAGGTAGTATTGTTGTTGGTGGAAATGGAGAAGGAGAACAACCAAATCAATTCCGTGGTCCCTCAGGTTTATCATTCGACGTTGAAGGGAATCTCTATGTTGTCGATCAGGGTAATAAACGCATACAAAAATTTGATATTGATTCAAAATTCAATTTATATGAAGATCGTAGTGAAGTTGCATCACATATTAGTGAGGATGATATGAGTATGCAATGCCGTGAAAAACCACTGGTATTCAAAGAGCAAAATCAATTGACTAACAATCCCCATATTGGTGAAGCAAACAATACGATGGGTAAGTTTACTGAAAAATAATCTATGGGTTCTGGGCAAGTGATCTATATAAAAATGAATATTTTCGAGACAAATAAATCTTTAGAAATTCGGAAGAGCAAAACTGGTTTGGAGATACTATTTATCCTATAAGAAAAATTAGTCTTTTGTTAATCAATTAGTCATTTTAGATGAGAGCAGGGGTGTGAGTGTAGATATGAGAAGTAATTATAATATCCACAATAATATCCATGCCCACCCTCACTCCTGCCCACATTCACACCCTCCAGATGACACGAAATGAAATAGATTCAGAGCGAACCGGTTTGCTGGATAGCTATTTTACCACACTAAATATAGAAAGTTCGTAACTACAATAATGGTAGTTGTTGTGTTTCTTTGAGCAAATATTAAGATCTCAAAGATTCAGCAACAAATGTTGCAGGCCGTACAATGGATGTGTTTTCTGTTGCTTCGAGAAACGGCAACTTAAAATATCACGAAGTTTTATGAAGATTTTTTACGTTTATACGATCTTCTGAAGGCATATTGAAGTTTTACAAAATCTCATAGAATAAATGATCTGACAGTGAGATTTGATGCTAATTCAGCATATGAACTAGTTCATTTTCTTTGTTTATTTAGTTTTAGTCGAGCAGTCACCAACATACAAACGTCAGTATAATAATCGACCGACAATTCATATAATCGATCTTGAACTGCCGCCCATCGATTGGGATTTATACATGGTACGAATGGAGAAATACAACATGAATAGTCACCTTACCGATGTTATACGTGACTTGAATCCGACCATTCCTCTTTACATACTTGTGTCTATGCCACCATCTGACGTTCTGCATTACTATTATCTTCAGACTTCATCTAATGAACATGCTAACATAAATTTAAACGTTAATGATCGCATCACCAACATCAATTCGATTGATCAGTTCGCCAGCAAACTCTATGAAGATTTGGGACAATATTATCGAAATGAAGCTGAAACAGCCTTATTTGATGATGAATATCGAGATCGAGACGTGGCTAAACAGCTCTTGACGAAATCGATAAAATGTTTTGAAATATTAGGACTTTATATTGAGAAAACATTTTAACACTACAAAAATTTAGCAAATACGTAATATATGATCACAGGTAGTTTTTATATTTTTTACATAATTCTATCACATCCATTTAATATCTATTATTATTATCACCAATATTCTAATAAACTTGATGTTTGCGACCTTTATATCATGAATATCTTTTGCTTTAATGGAAAACGAAGATACAAAATACTCTTTGTTTCTCAAATTCTTTTTTCAAAATAGTTGAATAATGAATGAATATTTCTTGGTATGTTATCTACAACAGTTCTAATGACTTATATAGTATTTTGATTCCTAATTAAATCAGTACATTCAAAGTTTCTTCGTTTCTACCAGTTAGAAATTATGGTGTGATCGTAAATTTAGTTAACTTCAAAAAGAGTCCTATTTAGGAAAGTTCCGCAGAAGATAAACAACGTAAACTGATTATAAAAGAAAACTTCATTCTCAAATTTTCATGAACTACCTTGTTGTTCCATTTAATATGTTGTATAAGCACTTATATTATATATTTTAGATAAAAACACGCTTCAAAGGTGATATTATCTCATTTCGACGAACGACTCCACTATAGAATTTTAGAAGTTATGGTAAGTTTCGTGTAATATCTTATTATAGTTGTATTATTCGAAGAATACACAAAAGAACATATTTTTCTTTACCTGTCATTAATAAAAGATTCAATATTATCTCTTTTCAAGTTTAATCGAGTTTGAAATAATGCGATACTATTGCGTTGCAGACAGAAACTAAATACTCAATTGAAATCATAAAATGACTTAGAAGTCAAATTCTAATGAAAAATAGCGTAAAAACACGAAATATAGATATTGATGTAAACGAACTTCACAATTTGTGATAGTACAAAGGTGCGCTTTTTCTTATTTGCAAAAAGAAAGGAAGTTAGAGACATGTAAGAGCTTTAGGTTATTACATTTATTCCATATGATTCATACTTTATTGCAAACAAAAAGCTCTCTTTCGTTTAGGCAGAACCTCAACTCGACGCTGTTGCACCTGTTCAATTATCTGATGAAGAACCTCGCATATTATTCTTGCACTTGAATGTAGCTATTGATCTTCACCGATATTTACGCTTTTATAAGAACATAGCAACTATTTTCGATAATAAAGTCGCTCTCCACAATCAACTCGCTATACATGATCGGTTATTTACGGTCGTTGCCCTACTACCAGATCAAGTTTCAAATGCAAACCTTAACTTCAATCCAATCAACGTTGAACCGGATACAACTTTCGATTATATTTATCTACTATATAAAACGGATCGAATATATGTCACACTCACAATTGACAGAAGTCGTTATCAAGAACCAGCACCTTCGCATTCGCCCTCTAATAATACGCTAAAAAAGATCATATGGATCATTTCAAAATCATTGGATCGTAACGTGAAATATTATGAAGAACGTGCTCGTCGAAGCGATGAAAATGGTGATTACGCTTTAGCTGCACTCTATAAACAACTGCAGCTCGAGCGAAACCAGCTTCGAATTGCTGCTATGCAGCAATTATCAGACTTGATATAACTAATTATATCAATTAGAGACAGTCCACATAGATTTGTTTAATAATAAATGTTAAACATGATATTCATCTTATGATTACACACACTTCTAGAATTTTCTACACAAAACATCTCAGATATATTTAGCTTATTCAGAGCAGTTTATTTCATACTATTTTACAACTAAAGCTTTTGGTTAAGTGAAGATTTTTGAATTATAACAAAAAAACTATTTGAAAAGAAATATTTTGACCTAAGTGATTTTTTTAATTGTATCAACACAAAAAGAAGTGAAAAGATATTCTAGGAGTTTTGTTAAATAGGTCAAATTTTCTTAAAAAGAGTCTTTCTTTTAGAGAAAATTGACCACTACATTTTCATGAAAATATCTAGAAATAATGTGTCAAAAACAACATTATCATGGACTCCCTCTAATCATGTGATTACTTTCAAGCAAACAACTATTTATTAATAAATGCGTCTTTTAATATTTTATACTTTCCAAAGTAGTGATGACATATATATGACACATAGGATTGTATAGAACATATTTAACTCTATCAGTTGATATAATTTAATAATGATTCAATCATTTTTTTTTTGGTAATGAAAAAATTTTATAAACAAAAATAAGTTGAAAAACATGATTTTTGATAGATTGATAGTTCAGATCATCCAAATATTGAAAGAGCTTATTGAAAATTTGTCAAAATTTAAGTTTCTACCGAACTTCTTATGTTCTTTGGGACTAGATAACTCATTTCAAAAACTAAACGTTTTCGATAGTCAGTCTCTACAGTTTCGAGTAGTATCTTTACCTTTTTCAGAGTCATAATACTCATCTTATGATTGAAAATAATAAAACTATTCGATAAGAAACCAAAGTATAGACTAATAATATTCATAACTATGTGTTGCTGATTCCATTTCTATATAATCAATAACTAGGGTGTGGGTGTGGGTGTGGTAGTTAGTGTCCTGCGGGAACAACTTTTTTTGCTTCCCATTCCCTATTCCCATTCCCTTAATTCCCTAAGTTTTCAAAGGCTCTTTTCATCTGCGAGAAAAGGGTCATTATCATATATGTGTACCAGTTACTGGTGACACCAGGTTCTGCGCATAGTAACGTGTTATTACATAAATTAAAAGGACGTAACGATTAGAGGAATATTTTACTGAATATTCTACTGATGCTTGCTTTTTTCATTACATACAAAATATGATTTATACGTCGAAACTTATCATTGTTGAAATAATTATTTTCATATCTATTTAACAAATAAAAAAACAAAAAAATAGTAGTACATCAACTACGGCGATGAAAAAAACAGAAGTACTAAACAGAGGATGATGATAACAATTTCTCACAACAACATGATAGTAATGAAGTGTTACGACAAGATGATCTTGATAATGTTATCTTGAACGACGATGATGAAAAAGAAAATTTTATTTGTGATGATTAAATTATGATGTAGTTAAGAATAAAGCGATGTAGTTTCTGTTTGTTGATACACAGTTGTTATTTTTCTGTTAATTATATATGAATAACAAAAATTATTAAAAATAAACAGTTATTAGATAGAAATATTTTTGTATATTGAAATAAAATTAGTCACAGTTTAGGGAACGTGAGCTTTTAGCTTCGTTCCCATTCCCATGGAAATGGAAAGGGGAAAAACAGTGAAAAAAGTCTTTCCCGCAGGACACTATTATGTTTATCTATTTTTTATTAGTTCGATATGTTAAACAAATGGGTGCAAATGTGAGACCAACCAACACATTACCACGTGCACAACGAGATTTAAAAATAGTTCGACGTATAGTTATACTTGTAATGATTCTTGTCACAATTTGTTTTCCTTATCAATTATTTCTTAGAATGTCATTCTGCAATAGTACACCAAAACATAATTTTCGAATTGCTTTTATATTTGGTGATACAGCAATGCTATGTGTAATCATGACTTTATTTCAATTTACAGATCCATTGAAAATGTCTCTAATAAAAATAATAAATAGACGAGCAAATATGGTCATATCTGCTGTATCATGAATGAAAGACTATTGAATCAAAATTTTGACAATCTTGTTTTTTGTTGTTTTTTAACGGTGAATAAATTTAAAAAAATGAAACTAAATTTACATTCTGGACATCCTTCCCTTTCTGGATCCCTGAAACTCAAGTTTTCGTGTTCTCTTGAGGGTGGATGTCGGCGTGGGCGTGAGTGTCTCTCCCTCATTCACACCCACACTCTACTGATACAGCAGTCAATGTTTCGTAAGCTGCTGAAACACCTTTCAAGAAATCGATCTCAAGACGATCAACTTGACAAGGTGATTAGCTTAATCTTTATTGACAAAATTCTACAGAGAAATTTTAGTCATTCAGATGGCTGGTGAGAAATAGCCATTGTTCATCATCCATATTTCTGTCAAGTATCATTTTTACGCACCACAAATTGTCTTGAATTTTCTCAACATTTTGAATACGAAAGACAGCCGCCATTGAAAAAAGAATTTCTTCTTCATCTTGAAAAATACTCTGATATTCAATTCGAGCGAAAGGAATACTGAGAGGTAGACGTGTATCAATCGATATTTCAAAAATAACGGAAGCATATCCTTCATCGACATCGGCAGTGCCTTCACCAGAAAAGAACACAGCGGCTTGGTAGTTGTTAGTGGTTGAGAGAAAGCTGTTCATGGAAATAAGACTGCATTGATATCGTTGCAGATGTTCAAGTTCTGTCTGAGGTATTATTTGTCCACGGTACAGCACAATGTTTGACTGAGTACTCGGTAACGATCGGAGGTAGTCTATTTGCAACTCGGCCAATTGATTATGCAAATCACGGATAAAATAGCGGAGTTTGATAATTGTATCATAATTTTCCTGTCGGAGAGCTTCATTAAGTGTACGAAAGAGGAACCAATCGCGGCTGTACCATGACACAGCATTTTCACTTCGATATGTCTCTTCAAAAATATCAATGTGCTTTAATGTTTTTGTGTCATTTGTGTATTTTAATCGACATAGTTCAACGAGTTCTTCTTTGGCAAAGTCATTAGCGTCGAGTCGAAGAATTGCGTCGACGAGCACTTGAAATTTTAGAAACGACGTGTTATTCGTATCCAAATAACGAAAATACGATTGTTGCATCCTTGGTTCGAATCGCCAGTGTTCATTAAGGAGTTTCGACCATGGACCAATAGTTGAACGACACTGTTCATCGTCTTCATCAATAAGAGTCGCTTCAACGTTCCATAGTAGTTCAGTGGATTCCACTTTATCAACTCGAAATAGTGACTGACATGGGAGAATTATAACATCACCATAAGATTGGGTTTTGCGCGATAAACTTCTATGAAGTACTTCTCCATAATTCGTAGATATATTGATCTTTTCTAGAACCGGCTGTCTGCATGGATGATTCATATCTCCCGTCGCAAAGGATTTTGCCGTGTTTTCGTCAAAAGAAAAGGATCCAAACGAAGTTTTGCCAACAATACTACCTACTGCAGCCTTCACTCCTTCAACAACTTGAATACTACTTTGAATTCCTCGATAAATAGAAATCTGTCGACATAGGGATTCGTCTCGTTGGTGAATAGGATGTTCAAATTGGGAATTAAGACGACTGATAGCATAGCGTAGTGCAAATACTTTGTTTACATCTTTGTTTGGTGAAAGCGAGGTGAAATTGGGATAGATTGGTCCAATTATTGTGTACAAATTGATAGGATCAGATATATCGTCCGTCAATTCTACGATTGATCTAAACATGTCATGGACGATAATGGAGGTGGCTTTAAGTTAAAGAATAGACATACTAAAATCTATGCTCCTACCAACTCAGTTTTGCTTTCTTCACTGTTTTTGAAGTTAGACAAATACAATTCTAGCAACGAAGCAATTGACATCTATATGTTTTACAGTTCAACATGCATTTTTCAATACTTTCGACAAGATACTAGAAAAATTATGTAGCCAATATAAGGACCTTCAATGACAGATATGACTTATTTTTGTGTAAAAAAATAATGAACTTTTCACGTGCACTTGTTTTTTTGTTTCACAGAGAGAAATATTGACTTCTCGTCATTATTACAGATACTCGCTTGAGTTGTATATAAACTAAAATTCTTTAGTCAGCATCCATTAAGCATTTGTTTGGTTACTTTCAAAAAACTGTTCTGAATAGTAGAATTCTATTGTGATTTAAATCTTGTACTGCTCAAGAAGCATATCTTGCTTACCTTTGATTCACTCAATCTACAGTGAAGACTATCGTGAAAAACAACAAGCTCTAGAATAAGCTCTCATGTTTCGAAAGGTAAAATGTCGTTCGATAAAAAAGATATGTATGAATTCAAGTTTTTAGATTCTCTGACAACTGTAGAAGTAGGTATCATAGTTTTCCAGGAACCAAGAAGTAAATACGAGTTCTTTCTTGATTCCATACTATCAAGTCAACAAAATACTGCGGTCTTTTCATTATTTTTCTCACTCAGATGCTCATCTACCCTCAAGATTTCATGAATCTTGCTATGAGTACGAAAAATTACGATTGCTATAATATGTTCATTTTCGAAATTATCGAGCTTTGAAGAAATTCATAAGAGATTTCTATTAGACCTGTGTCAATATAGCTTGCCAGAAGCTCTCATCATCGCTGCTCATGCACAGTTGAGATAGGAAAGGAGATATATTTTAATTATTGCGTTAGAAATATCAAGTGAATCTTTGACTACACAATAAGGATCTTCCATTTTTTGGAAGATAATTCAGATCTAATAGGTATTATAATAATTGATAGATCGTTTTTGCGCTTATTTGAACACACACTAGGATATTTAAGTATACTTTTTATTTTATTTTATGATAGTTGACTATGGGATCCCAGATTTTTAGGAGTGGGAACTAACAGACGGTTTCAAGTTTCCTGATTCCTGAGTTTCTAGGAATGGAATCCGAAACTTACACCTCTACTCTACTTGATATTGTACCATCCTACATTGGCGTTGTTTTTTTAAGTCCGATGAACGTTCGGGTAATTGGTATTGGTCACAGTTCAGCTTTTCGAGACTTCTCATTTTTCAATCAAAGTTTTGGTCAGATTGTTGTGAAGCTTATAAAAATTCTCATCGTATCAATGCTGATCTGTACATAATTCCATAAGAAGAAGAAACCTAATCAAACGAAGCTACTGCATGCGTAATTTTATTCAATAGTTTTTGGATAGCTATGTTCTATTGATACACATTTTTCAACACTCGAAAGACGTTCATTTGTCTATTGATAAAAATATAAATGGCGCAAGACAAATTAAGCACATAAACCTAACTAGAATGAAACAGTAAGAGGCAATTAGCTAATTTATCCAACTTTCCAAATTAATTGTTTAGTGCTCATATTAGACAAGGTGGGCTTCTATCATAAAGTGGACTTATACTCTGTGGGATGGTTTCAGCGTTTTGATTTATTCTTTCAAAAAACATAGGTAGCTTTTATCGATTGATAGTATAGATACTTTATCTCTATTCCCAGTGAATGATGTTTGTAGTGACCATTCGTAATTTTAAAATTAATGAAAAACTATAGCTCACTAGAATAAATACCTTTGATATTTTGCTTACTTATATTTTTTTCGAGTAGTCTGATGATTGAGATACGTCAGCAATTCTCTGGTTGCCACCTCAGTATGATGGATGCTGGACAAAATAGAGAAAAACAAACGATACCATACATATGGGGCAATATCAGCAGATAACTCAAAGATGCGCTGACGATATTTTGATTCGAATATTACTGGATGCGCAATAATATTAATATTACGTAAACTATTGAAGATTTGATAGATAAAATTTCTCTTTGTATCAAAGACATATATGGTACCGGTGAAATCGTTCAAAATGCTTTGGCAACTGTCTATTATGTTGTCCGAAATGATCAACTTCACATTATTTATAGCAAGAAATATTGGTGATGATAAGATCTTTCGTAATTCATCGATGTTGATCAATTCGAAAACTTGAAGATGAGGAAGCACAGGAGGAAGCGCTGGACAGCATTCGAGTGAGAATCCAACTAGAACAACGACGGGTTGAGACTTTTGGCGATTTTGTTTGTCAACAAATAAGCGATGTTGGATGACAGGCACGCTCATCAAAGACTATGTATAGTTTATTTATATGAATGAGAGAACAAATCTAAATGCAACACATTGTTAATATCTTGTCATCGAATATCACTGCCAAATTAGCGAATCTGGCTTTGCCGATCAAATAGAATTAGTGATGTCTAATTCAGTACAGTGAAGAAGAGAATCTGTAATTTCATGTACGCTCCTCTCGATCCTATTTGAGGGTGTAAGTATGGATGTTGTACTAACCTTGCACACACACCCGTACCCTTGAGAATTTAATCGTACTATTTAACAACTTAATTAATAGCTCAGTATGTAAAACGAAACAAGAATCAAACCGGTCCAACTATACTGAAAGATCGTTTAATAATTGAAGAACCAAAAAAGAAATTTCTATTACTTGAAAATAATGTGCACCAATGCTATGATCATACCTTACAATGAAGTGATATAGAATCATATTGATATTGCTTGCTTTGTTTCTAATGCACAGGTGGTATTTAAGGGCGTATTTTTTCTCACAAAATGAAAAGGCACAAACTATAATCTTCCAACAAATAAAAAAACGGTAGAATGAATAATAACAAGGATATCTGATATGACACTTATCGGCCTTTTTCAAGCATACAATGGCGTATTATATTTCAATCTGAATTTAGAGAAAAAAAAGTAATATTTCGAATTGAAAGTAGAAAACTGAGGAACTAAAAAATTAGTCCGCTAATTGCACTACTTGCAGTCTGCAGTCGAATCCTTTCATTCCGCTAGAAGACTAAGAGAACTAAGGGGACTAGAAGGTGGATGTCGATGGCGATGTGGGTGTGGTGGGAGTGAGTGAAAGAGAAATGATCACATACACACCCACACTCGTCATCTTCATGCCATACTCACCCACACGCCAATCTCTTCTTACACTGACCCTCACCGCCACCTATTCCACCCACCTTCACGCCGTACACAGTCACACCCACACGCACATTCTCACTCACACCCACCCTCGCCATCACCCACACCCTTTAAATGTAAATAGACACAACGCTCGCGAAATAAGTTGAAAATTTTTTGTCACCCTTTTCTCCCAAGTTGATTGAGGGGAACCGTTAGAAAAAAACATATTTTCACTTATTTTTCTTTCCAATCCTTTACTCTTTCTTTTAGCATGGTATTCTTATGCGCTTTGCGCCTTTTTCATTGTTTTTCGATAGAAAATAAATGTGCACACTTTTTCTTAGCTGTCTTAATTGAATTCTTTAGCTATTGACGTTTTTCAACAAAGCTGAATTTTTTTTAGAACAGAGACGTACATATTGGTACTGCCGCGTTGGCCATAATAACAGTTTCTGCAAGGATAATATTTTAAAAACTGATAAATTTTTACATAATCTTCATACTGATAGATGCTTCGACTGTAAAACTTGATAAATGTGATCGATCAGCAGCATAAAACTCAGTTTGAACCATGTACAGCCTTGAAAAGCGAGAGATTTTTTAATATACCATCGCGAAGAGTATGGGTGAAAAGAATATGAACGTGCACGGTCTTCGGAGTGCGGGTGTGGGTGTAAGATTAATCTGATCAAGCACACCCACACCCTTAAGATGGTTATTTTCGTACAGAGGATTCAAACAGTTATGAAACTTTATTAGTTTTTATTAAATACTTAAATGAATTTAAAATTTTAACGCGAGAATACAAAGATGATGCTAATAAGTAGTGAAAAAAGTATAATTTGTCTCTTTAACAGCAGTTTTTATGGCACCTTTAGCCATTGGATGATTAAGAACGTCTCGAATAGATACAGTATACACTTATTCCAATGACGAGTACTATTAAGAACAAACCACCGGATACACTTCCAACTATGATCACAGTTTTAGAATCTTCAAATACAGAAAATATACAAATTCTTTAATTGAATTGCTCAATAAGCTGTATGAAATCCTTTAATGTTTTCCTTCTTACCATTATCTGAGGTTACGGTCATTGGAGTGGCTGTAATAGGGTAAAGTGTTGGTGTATAAAATGAACTTCTAAATAAAAAAGCCATATTTTCGATGACTGTTGGCCAAAACGTATAGAGGGTAATCAATTGAAAGAATAAAACTTACATATCGACGCATAAATTATCTATAGCATAGAATGTTCCGTTTGATCTGACAGCCAGTATGGGATCAGGAATTCCTCCCGAAGTAGTGAAAATAATGGTGTCAATATAAGTCCAATTTAATACTATGAACGACGAAATAGTCGCTTGGAGTGTAACTGTTTGTTGATAAATTGTTGCTCCATTTCGTTTTCCAGTCATTGATAAAGCCAAATTATCCATATAAAAAGCAAGTGCAATAAACGAATTTATACTAAAAGTAGAAGCTGCTGGAGAACTAATGGTTATGGGACCTTCATACATATTGAAAGCAACATATACTTCATTTGAAAGAGCTGTATGATTACCGGCAAATGAGTTGAGATAAGTAACAAGTGTGTAGACGACATTAGACCAAACTAAATCGAAATAATTGTTTGGTACTACAGCTGCATAAGATCCTAATGAAGGCAAATCATCGAAAGTTATAAGTGTATTTGGGGTTGTACAGTTATAGTCACTGTGGACGACGACAGGAAATGATAAACATAAAATGATAAATGCAACTGAATACATCTCTTTGTGCATTATTAACTGGAATTATAGTGTTGAATGAAAAATGAAAAGTTTTGTTTCTATACGAACAAAATATTTTTCGATTCATTCTTTCATATAAAAGTACATAAATAAGCACTTTGTTTAACAACGCATTTGTATTAAAAATGCACAAGTGGGAAAAAAATCTTGCTCACATAGAGTATGGCTGTGGATGTGTCAGAGCAGACAGGTACCAAACCCAAACTCAAACTATTTGGATTGGGTGTAAGTGTAGGTGTTGGTGGGGTGTGGGTGTTGATAAGGGTGAGCCTATTGGTGTAGTTGAGGATGAGGGTGAACGTGTGGGTGTGGGTGAGTGGGTTTGAGTGTTTTCTCTTTATTGATGCCTATATTTCACAACCACACCCTAAACTATGAGCTCACCCTAAAAATATTATATTTGAGAAATTTAGTAACGTCTAATATTTTTTTCAATAGCCACATTTTGTATAAAATAGAATAAACAAAATTTACACCAATATTAGATCTAAATAGTCTGCATGTACAGCTAAAATTTTTGGAGTGTTTACATTTATTAATCAGAACATATGAACATTGCAATTTGACAAAACGGAATTCCGTAACTCTGATTTTGTCGATATATAATTCCTATATTTATATTCTGATACATTTAGGTGTTCTCATTGGATTAGCTTGTTGTCATTGTTTTAGAAGCAAATATTAAAAAATACGAAGAAACATTTTCTTCACTAATGAACTGTTACTCTTATCGCATCTAATGTTGAAAATGATTTTACCTTTTTGTTTACAATAAAGTAATGAGAATCATAGTGTTTATTATTCTTTTTACTTTCTTCTAAAGAGAAAAGAAAGGTGTTGCACATTATTCTCTCACTATGAAACAAAAACAAAAAAAATTACCATTCAGTTATATCGTCAATACTTGATTATTCGAAAATTTAAGACCGAAATATAAAGTTGAGTCTGCATGATAGGAAGACGGTTGTATAAAACGTATTTTTACCCTATTTTCCACTTTTACGAATATTTCCATCATTTTGATAAAAGTTGTTTTACAAAAACCTTTTGTTTTCATGGAGAAAGTTTTAAACTACTGTTTATAATCAAATGTGAAATACAACGTTTTTTAGACATTGAATGAGAGATTTTTATAGTTTCCTCTACCAAAATCACATCCAATTTAAAATCCACGGTAATCAATCGATTCTGCATCAAATGGCATATTAAACAATACAAGTTTAGGGAAAACTGGGTGAGGATGTGGTGTGACGTTAAACTGATACCGACACCCACATCGACCCTCAGCTATTAGTCTCTGACATAAACCATAATATTAGTCGTTCTTAATAGATAATATATCAAGTCCTGCCCAGATAAAAGCTGATTTTATCAGAGCCAATCATTCAAATGCAGTGCATACAAAATTCTAGACTTTAATTATGACGACCCTTAAGCAAGACCGACACGATTGTCGTAAGTAGCTTGGAATTTTCTTCTATACATACCCGTTGTTCTCGAACTAATAATGAATAATCGATAATATTCAAAGCAATTTTATTAAGCAAATACGAAGAGAAAAAACATTCAGAGATTGTTTTTCGCCACTTGAATGTTATGCATCATGACTTTAATATTTGGATGAGTTGGAGGGAGTGAATTTTGGAAAATAGCCAGTGCTTTTTCTAGTAAGGGTATTGCTTTCGAGTAGTCACCCATGGTGTTATACAGTAGACCGATGCTGTTGTAACTTTCAGCCAAATCAAAATGATTCGGAGGTAAAGATATTTTTCTTATTTGCATTGATTTTTCGTGAAATTTAAGTGCTTTTGAGTAGTCACCCATGTGTTTATACACTCCAGCGATGAAGCTATAGCTGTCAGCGATATCGGGATGATTCGGAGACAGAGCCTTTTCTCTGATTTTAAGTGCTTTTTCGTAAAACTCAAGCGCTTTTGAGTAGTTACCCATGCTGTTATATGCTACACCGATGTTGGTGTAGGCTGTAGCCAATGAGGAATGAGCCGGAGGTAGAGTTTTTTTCTTTATTTCGAGGTCTTGTTCGAAAACTTTAAGTGCTGCGGAATAGTCACCCATTTTGTAATACACTATACCCATGTTGCCATAGGAAGTAGCCAAATCTGGATGATTTGGAGGTAGAGATATTTTTTTAATTTTAATTGATTTTTCGTAGAACTCAAGTGCTTTCGAGTATTCACCCATATTGCTATATACTAGACCGATGTTGTTGTAGCTTTCAGCTAAATCGGAATGATTTGGAGGCAAACATATTTTTCTTATTTGGATTGATTTTTCGTAAAATTTAAGTGCTTTCACATAGTCACTCATGTGGTTATATACCATACCAATGTTGTTGTAGCTTTCAGCCAAATCGGGATGATTCGGAGGTAGAGATTTTTCTCTTACCTCAATTGATTTTTCGTGGAATGCAACTGCTTCTTGGTATTTACCTTGATTGTCTTTCACCCTTCCGAGTTGATGATAAATATATGCTCTTTCGATATCACTTGAAGCATTCTTGAGTAGTTCATTGTGGAATGCTTCAGCTTGATTGAAATGACCCACTTTGATCATCAATTTACCCATTCGAAACCATCCATTAGAGCCCTGAACTTCCTCTTTAATGCGGTCGGTAAGAATAGCAAGTTGGGGATCATCGTCATTAGTAATACTCAGTTGTACTTCCCATAGACGTTTATTATCGACTGTCTGTTTGATTTCACCTACCCTGAAAATAGTGTGCATTGTAAAGAGTATCTCTTATTCTCCTCGAATAGCAGTATAAACATCGATCATAGCAAAAGGAGTAGTTACAGTTGATATTTTACTTGGATCAATTGTCATAACAAATATAACACCTACAGTTTTGTTGTTTTTTTTACAATGAACCTCGAACAAAGTTCATTGCCACTTCTCGTTTCTTGCTTGTTGATAAGAAGTTGTTGAACGAAAGGAGACCACCTTTCGAATCACTGAGATTTTGAAAGTCCTCTTGTGTGAGTCTCTGGCCACGATAAACAATAAAAGATTTATTAAAATTTGCGGACTGCTCTTGATGCAATTGTTTCAGTTAAAGATGTAAACTTCGAATGAAAAATCCTAATTTTGTCATCGCTTCCATATCGAGCAATCGTAAGGCAAGATTAAGCATAACATAGAGAAACATCTCTTTGGTATACCACCAAACTGGTGATTTCTGATGGTATTTATACTTGAATTCATTAATTTCTGCTTCGGGAATATTTTTTTGTTGACAATGAGTCACTAATGTCTTCATAGATTTCGTATCATCGTCATTGATTTCTAATATAATATCCTTGAAAATCACAGAGTACATATATGATGGCGGCAATTGATCAAGATTGTTTTGATCTGATCCTATTGCCCCATCTGCCATTATATGCTTCGGAATGAAGCTCATCGGTATCGCATCATGGTCGCATTCACGGGCGACTTTTCTTAATGATTCGCAGATGGGCATTATTGAGGTGAAAACACCTCGAATTTTTGCCCATTCTTTTGACCACTGCTGATGAAGCGTTTCGTTATCGCAGAAGATATAAATTGCATCTACTTTTGGTATATCATGAATGTTTTCAACAACTTTTTGACCTAAAGCTCCGGACGAGATGACGAAGGCCTTTCCATCATCGATCCCATTCAACAACTCGATACATTTTACTAGGGTTGCGCACAGCTTCACGTCATTCACGATCGTGTATAGTTGTTCCAATGAATTTTTGTAGTCTTCATTCGACGGATCGTGTTGCCGTCGACCCAGATGACCAAATAGTTTTGAGTCATACGACTTTTTGGTTGTATTGCATCGGATGATGCTTTTGTACTGGAAGCAGCGGCTGATGATTTGGAAATATCCCGCTTGAAGTCTTTTGCTCCCATGTGTGATATGAATTTTTGTTCGATTGGTTACACAGAGTCGTGAACAGTTATCTGTAACCTGAACAGCATTCGCTACTTCTATTTATATAGACGATATGGAGAAGTAGTCGTTCGTCGAATTGCCAGTGATGGTGAGAGATTCGACGAAACCGTCTCTTTTTTTCTACGCATTGAAATATAGGTGTTGTGTTTTTTTGTTGATAGTTACTGGCAAACTCTGTTTAGTTTTACGATTGACAATACACTTGTAAGCAAACAAACGAACGAAAAAGATGCCAACGTCGTCGTTTCTTGCATTATTATTCTTTCCAACTTTGATTTTTTTTTCATCTGTACAAACCCCACCTCCCACATTACTTATTTTTCTGTTTCTTAATAAGAACGCAACAACTACGAAGAACTCGTCGAATCAGTTGTTCTTTTTTTATTATGAATATGAATTATTTTACCCGAAAGAAATGAAGGCAAAAGAAAATGGATAAATTTTTCGTGAAAACGATAACCTACAAACTGTGTTTTTTGTTATCACCCTATGGTTCGAGTGGTAACAACTGTTTTTATTACGCTTCACCGTCGGAGATTCTGTATCGTATCTTATAGTTTTTTGAGTATCCAGATCAACCATTACAGCGACCGTAAATAGCAGAGAGGGTGTGGGTGTGAGTAAATATCTGGTTATTCATATTCACACCGACACCCAAATTCACTGGAATATGTATCTCAAGATATGATGATTTATATAAATTGTGTTTGACTTTGGATAATATAAAATATTTCAATTAAAATAAATGAAGGTTATGATAGAAGTCTTATCAAAGTTTGAATTCAATCTTGAACACAAAACTTTTTCATTTATTCTCTGAATAAAAAGAATAATAAAACATTGACAAGTTAATGTTAAATAATATTATCTATTGTTTTTTGTTATTAAATAAATATTTATCTTTTATTTAATATTAAGTATTTATTTGATAGAATAAACATTTATTTACAATTTCATTTCATTTATTAATGTCATAAAAAGAATAATAAAATCTCATTTTTACAATCTAAATATTGAATATTCTTATCTGATTACATTACGACACAATATTAAATAAAAACCTTTGTAAATTTAATCATTTTATTCATAAATAAATGTCAATTTTATCTTTATTCTTTCCATATCTCTCATTTTTGTTTCTATGGAAATATATTTCGATATAAAACTTTAATTCAATCATTGATTTTGTTATTTGTAGAAAGATTTCAACTTCTATCATTTTATTTATAATCAAGAAAAATATTTATTAAATTTCAATAAAAAATTAATTTCAATGTAACAAAACAAAAAAAAATATGTTTTCTTGAATGTTTGTAGAAAAACTAAATATTCAATTTTTCACTCTAATTTAATTATTGAAAAAAAGAAATTTTTATTATTTAATCTTTAACAATAAAAAAATGAAAATGATTGATTAGAATTTAATATCAAAGTTAAATTTAATCATAATTAATAGATCTGGTAAAAATATTTTATAAGAAAATCAAAGATATTTATATTGATCGATTATTATTATTATTACACAATTTCATACTATTCAATAGTAATAAACACTTTTTAATGTATAGGAAAATATATAAATATTTCTAATATGTATATTAATTGTATTACAAAGAAGTTTTTTCTTTCAACTATCAATAAATTTACTTATCTGATAAATAAATCAAATAATATAAAATGAACAAATTGATTATTATTCATCTTTTGTATAGAACAAAAACAAAGAAAATAATGTCGAAAGACTTGCATAACTCTTATTCATCGACTATACGACAGATTGTTTTATTTTTTAAACATATTCAATCAATTAACTAGAATTTGAATAAACTAGTTTCTAATAAATAATCATCGAGATTTCATAATAATATATAACTAGAAATCAAGCATTATAGATAAAGTCCTGTGAATAAATTGTTTTGAAACGTTCAAATAGAAAAAAAAACAACAATTATTTATTTAACATTGAAAATTATCACTTCTGAATAAAATATTTGCAAATAGATTTAATAAAATTTAGTTCTATTCTCACACAAACAATTTTTATGAAGACAAGAATAAAAAGATTTTCGTTTTACAACAAATATTTTCTTAGTTATTCTTTGTTTTCATAGTTTTTAGTCTGATTATTAGTATACATTATATGTCAAGTCACGAAATAGCCAACTGTTTGACTATACAAAATATTCTATTCGTAATTAATTTCATCAAAGAAAATTTTTTTTTATGGAGAAATAAAATGACTGTATTTAAGTCTTCTAAAATATCTACTTGATGTCTTTATATCGCTTCATTATCACAGTTTCATGGTCATAGTAATGTAATTCTTATCTATTTAAATTTCAGTGACAATTCAAGACCTTTTTTAATATAGATATACTCTGATATTTAATAATAATTAAATGATTGGATGAACAACTAAAGCAGTTTATTATTGTTAACTATTGCCTATTTTTAAATGATAAAAATATCCATATGTCAATTCTATTGAAAATGAATTTCATTGGATAAATTTCAGTTTTTCTTCCGATTATAAAATTACTCATCGTCTCTTCATCATATTCAGTCGTTTTACTTTACTTTGACTATATATAATCATTCTCTATCAAGTACGAGACTGAGATATATTAGAAAAAAGAGAAAAAAGAATAAAGGAAACATAAAATTCTGTCGTTTGTCAAAAGTAATAAACCAATAGTCACTTGTCAAAGGAAGTATAGAGTGTTATACACACATTAGTACGTGAAATTAATAAGTACATATTATCCAAGTTTGTTTCATTTCTTTGGTTTTGATTATTTAGGAGGTGGGTGTGAGTGTGAATATTCTCCAATCCGTGATCCTCACACACACCCACACCCTCACCCGTACCCACCCTTCAAGATCATCGTTTCTCCCAGCCGTTTTTAAGCAAAACGATATTAGTTCCTATCACCACCGGAAATGTTAACATCTCATCTTCGTACTTCAACTTTCTATATAGTTTTAGTTCTCACATGAGGTCTTTGAAAAAGCTAAATCTGTTGACCAGTTTTTCATCTCAGTTCATACAGCTCATGAACTTGGATCGTTATACCGCCAATATTGATTAATAATTTTCAAATACCATCGTCACAATTCTAACTTACAGAACACTATAGTTCTAGATCATACTTTTCATGTCACAATCAACTGATAACGAAAAAATTCAAGAAGTTGAATTTTGTAACACTGTCGTTCGAATACAAACTGTCAGTCTTTCTGGCATCGATTGCTTGCTTCTGGAAGATGTTCAACGACGATTTCCGTCGGTGACAGCATTGTGTATACGTGGTGTGCAGCAACGATTCGTCTCTGATGACAATGGCAATATTCTGAAACCGATGCGCATCAAAGCGTGCATCGATCAAATTGTTGAAGCGCGTGAACCTATAGAGCATTCGAATGATATCGTGGGTGCTCGCCTTGATCGTATTGATGCGAACGCCGATCTCTTTCCCGTCAACAGACAAACGATTATAAATCAAATAAAGTACGTTATGACACAGATGGATGAAGTGCATGAGTTCACTACACCTCGCTACTTTTTCATTTTTCCGGCAAAGCACAGCGATCGAACGGTACTTAACACAGTGCAAGAATGGTATCATCTCCATTACAAACTCTATTTTCTATGTGAATGTTCAGATGAGCCCCATCAACTGCATGTAGCTCCACATAACGGCTATTCGATTAAAAAGACGAGAGAATTCGTCATCAAATATGGACCTTATTTACGAACAACATTAAAAATTGCTCAAGTCCTATTTAAACTCGGAAGTTTTATTATTCCGTAATTGGATAGCGTGTCAGAGACTGTTGGTAGCGATGCAGATACGATCTTACCAACATCTGATAAGCAGAATGAGATGGAAGAACAGCTAAATTTGGTTGAGAGATTACTCGATCGAGTCGACCATAAGTGGGCACAGTCAAAGTCCACAATGCTCAGATACAATAAGTTATGTGGAGTGCCACTTCAAGTAGTAGATCTACGTGAAGTTGAAACATATCTGGATGTTGACAATAATAAACGTAGTTTAGGAAACCTGTACCGAACAGTCACCACTGATGGGCATATGCGTTGGGTGTGTCTAGAGCACTATGGCGATATATTTTTTTCACTATGAAAATATTTTTTTTTATTTTGATTGAAAAATAAATATATGTAAAATTCAAGAAGAATTTTTGTTCATAATTGAATTAAGTCTGATTTATTTGGTAGTTTTGTTGTGATAGATTCGATATTGTATTTTAATAATTAAAATTAAATTTTCTGATTCGATTGAGATACATATAGAAGTGAGTTTATAATTCTATTGAAGATGAGATAGTCTGTGAGAATAAGAAAGTAAGGTGGAAAAATATTTTCGTATTTTAAAGTTGTTTGTATATAAACTAATAAAATGAATGATAAGATGCTGAAAGAAAAAATAGATCAAACTAATATTTTGTGTAAGTAAAATTCTTTTCAAAATAAATAAATTTGTTAATTTATTTGATTTGATCTATTATTTTGATAATAATAATGATAATGAAACATTTGTTATATATAGAACACTGATTGTTTCTTTTAAATTTATATTCATCTTTCAGCTTTTAATGATATGAAAACCAGTGATATTTATATTCGATATTTTAAATGTGAATTTTTTTTATTGATTAAATAAAGTGAAACTTTTTTCATATTTACTTTATCACGTGTATTATGCGTCAATAATAATATGGTTATATTAGAAAATGATATATGATTTTTATTTTTGTTTTTGTAGAATATGTCTATGTAGACTTATCGAGTTTTAATATAATTGGTAGTTTGCCTTTTTGATTGACGTTATAGCATAGACAGCGAGGGGTTCTTTTCTCACAAAAAAATTTGTTTTTGATGATTGTTTTTACCATATTTCAGACATCAAAACAGTCTGAGCAGTACGTTTTTTTAATATGTTTTTGGCGAGACAGAGCAAGGAGAAAAAGGACAGCTTTGTTTTTTTCTTTATTTATATAAAAAATCAGAGGAACTGATAAAGAAGAAAAAGAAAAATTATAGGGCCTCCAATAGTATTTAAGCGAAGCATACCTCGTTATTCTTATTTTTTTGTTTTGGTATGTTATAAAGCGTAGGTATGCACACGAAATCGACAGTGTTTTTCATAGAAATAAGAATAAATGTGAGAGACATATGTATATACAGCGATTGTATACTTAATTTTAACCGTGTAAGATAAACTAAAGAACATCTCATTTTCAGATTTATTAAATAAAATCTGCTATCAACAAATATGGAACGGCCATTTGATTTCCCATTTGACGATACAAATTCGAATGATCAACAGCAACCATTTTCAGCATCAGATCTCCCCAGTGATGATACCATGAATGAAGTATAGTCGATACAAAGATAAACAACTGAATTAATTAATATTTTTAATATTTTATAGTTATTATCAGAGTTTGGCTTATTTCCAAATAATCCACTTAATGGTAATATTCAGGAATCACTCAATCAAAACAATCATATTCATGAAAATGTTAATATCGATGATCTCACTAATCCAACCGATAATGAACGTAAGTTTATAACAGGTCCCATGAGAGAAAAAACAAATAAAATATTTAACCTTACTGATAAAAGTTTATTTTTTGTTTATTGTTTTATTATTATTCATAGAAATTGATTTTTTAACATTAAACTTTACTGAACTTTCTGGAGAATCAACCGATAGAGATGAAATAAGCCAACTGATCGGTTCATGTATAAGCGATGAACCAACACAACAAAGTACTTTCATAGAACATTATGATAGGTCAAGTTTTTATTCATCACCAGTGTCTGTTCGAATTGGTAGCTCACCAGCAGAACAACAAGCTAATGAAAGTAAGTAATATTATATATACATTTAATATATTAATTATTTATTATCTCTTATTTCAGCTATACGTAGTGCAGAAGCTTATTTAAATGGACAAGATGAAATATATCGAATGGCAACAGAATTTAAAAACAATAAACGTACATTCATTATTGTTTTTTTTATATAATATTCAATAATTTATTATTTTTTTTTCTGTAGAACTTCAACAACGACCAACAACTGTTACTCCTTTCGAAGATTATATGCGTATGTTTATATCTAAAATATGTTTAAATTTGTATTTAAGTTTTCTAGACTCTGGTGATTGTCAACCTTGTGATACACAATCCCAATATGATTTTGTATATCAACAACAAAGTAGATATATTCTTTTTAATTGTTTATTAAGATAATTTTTGATTTTCGTATTAGCTCTTGAATATGATGTTGCAGAAACAAAACCAATTCAAATAAGAGATCAACCACGTGCAAAATATCGTCCACGAACACAAAATGAAAGTAAAAATTCAGCACATTATATTCGATGTGAAGAAGGTATTACACCAGAATATCCAACAATTACGGTATATTATTTAATTAAACTATATTATATGACTAAGAATCATTTTTGATTTTGTTTCTTATTAGATACATCGAGATTGGAATTTCCAAGCTGATGCAAATTTTATTGAAGTTGCTTTGGTAAGTATCGATCAACAACCACATCTGTATACACTCCATAATAAAGACTGTTCAGCAACATTTGAAGATAATGCATTAATATTTAAACTATATGAATCAAATGTTATATATTTTCGTTTAACAGAAGAAGATTATCGAAATGGATATAAAACGTATGTATATATTTTTTTTCGTAACAACTTCAATTTGATATATTTTTATCTATTTTAGATTGATGGTTGAATTAATTAAAGGTAAACAAAGTGATGTTATAACAAAAGAGGTAATTCGTTCACGACAACTTGACCAGTCAATGCTTCGTATTGCACGCATATTTCGAGTCGGAAAAGATGAATTGCAGCGTGATGAAGGAAGTGTAGTACATTCCAATGTTATGACTGAAGGTAAGATAAATTAGTTTCTAATCTGAATAGGAATTTAATAAATATTTTAGCTTATGGTGATGTTGAAATCGAACATATGGGTCCACGATATGGACCAATGAGTGGATTAGAAATGGTATATATTGTTCTAAAAGGTCAAGTCTTGAAAAATGATATAAAAATTGAAATAAACGAACCTTATTTTAATTGGAATTATTCTGTGGAAAATTTTACTAAAAATGGAAAGGTTATTTATTTTGAAATGCCACCTTTTCCACATCCAGGCTATGAAACAGTAAAAGCAAATATCATTATCTTATATAAAGGAGAAGAACTATTTCAATCGCCTTATTTATATAAAGGATCATTAGATCGTATGTAAATGTTTCTTTTTAAAATCATCTTTCGAATTATTTTATTTCTAGAAGCCTTAGCTGAACTTAGTTTAAATGGTTTACCTCCAACTACTACTTCATCATCATCATCATCATTAGTAGCAGCAATGCCAAAAGTAGACGATCTCAAATGGTTATTTGATACCAATGCATCTTCTAACTCACGTACACAAAGAAAAACAATAAATAAATCTAGAAAACGTCTAAAAAAATAAAAATTTATCATTATCTTAAAACAATCATATTTATATATTCATCACCTGTTTGTTTAACAATTTTGACACGCTGTACATACATGTTATTACTTTTTGCATGTTGATGTTTCACATAGAACTTAGTTTAAAACTCTCTAAAAGAGCTATGATGAACTTTATTTTGTTTTTTTATGTTCTTTATATATATATCTTTTTTTATTGTTTTGCGTTTTTGTTTGTCTATGGACTAATAAAATATTGTATAAAAATGAAAGATTTTATCAAGAATTCAATTAGTTATATTATTATTATTCTGTATTTTATTTAATTATATAAAGTTCATACCTAAAACGAAAAATAGATGGTTTACTCATACATAAAAAACTGATCTAGTTGAAAAATAGCATATTCAAGTAAATATCATTACAATAGTAAGAGATAAATTTATTGTGGGATATTCAGTATGAGCCTAATCAAAGTTGAACAAGTTCTGCAATCTCCTTATTTTAGTCTTAAAACAGATTCGCTAATAAGTATCAGGATTTTCTATTTTTGTCATTTTAGTTCGAATTTTTGGGATATATATCCTCATATCATATATATGTCGTGCCGAAGTTAAACTTCGACAAGCAAATTTTGCCGAAGTTACTGCGAATGATATTATTGATTGTAATTCGTAAAAAAAATCATAAAAATCATTGTGCATCACTGCATCTTGAGGGTGTGGGTGTGGGTGGAAGATAGAGAAAATACACCCAAAATAATTACCTTTATATCTTGATAATGTGGATGGATGTGAGCAATTAGAATATATATGACACACCCATACCCTAACCCTAGAATTTTAGATGTATCTAAGTAAATAAATTATATAAATGGTTTGACTTATAAATCGATGCCTTTTCAACGAAAGAACAACATGTGATTATATACTATGAATTAATTCCATTATATAATGTTCTGTAACACAAATTTTATTTTATTTTCTAAAACTAAGTCATGATTTGTTTTAATAATTGATTCAAGCCATTTAAAAATACTGGTTATTATATATTTTTCGTTCGTAAATATCTTTAGCTTAAAACTCAATATAAACATAATCTAACGATAAAATACAAATATAATTTATACAATGCACAGATAGAAGATATTATGAAAATAAAAAATATACACTGATGTACAACTGAATGTGCGATTATACTAATAATTTGGTAAAAAATAAATTTGAATTCTACTGTTATATATAGTGAAGAAAATGGTTATTCATAAATAAATTACGTTCTCTTTATTGCTTTAACCTAAACAGAAATAGTTGGTTACATATAATAATTTTACGCAGTTAAGTTAATCATTACACATTATTTTTTTTTCATTTAATATTAAACATAGATACAGGTATTACATACAAAGAAGATCTATGTTAATACAAATACATTAATTTTTTACTATTGCTATTCAAAATTTGAAAGTATGTTTTACAGATAATTTCATAAATTATAAACAGCTAAGCTCTTTATGCAAAGGCTTCATAAGATAATATGTGATAGTTTTCAGAAATAAATTTTAGTCGAATATAAGCTACTTCTAAAAGATAACATAAACATATTGATTATTAAAAAAATGAATTTTGACTCAATATAAAATTTCAAAATGTACACGATCAACTTGCCTTCTGAATTTTATTGATTTCTAAAAAACAGATAAATAAAAGTATTATAATCCAATTTTTTATTTTCAAAATTGAATGATATTGAAATGTCTGCAATAGATTTTTCTTCTCTATATGCAGATACGTGTTAATATTTTTTGTAAGACGAACAATCATTTGTGAAACTGATAAGTAAAATAAATATGTGAATGTCTATCACAGAAGATTGTAACATAATTAAGAAGATATAAAGCTTTACAAAAGTTTACACCTGATCATTATTCAGTAACAAGTAGGTAAGAATGGTCAATTAGATAACTGCATTATAGTTTATTTATTTATTTAAAATATCTAATAAGTGCGAAAACAAATAACATGTAAAGGAAGATTTTTCTATGAATTTTATTCATTTTAAAGATATATCAATACTGGATTTTTTTTTATTTATCTGAATGTGTCTATTTTGTTGATCTTTCATATTTCTGATAACATTATATAAGTTATAGAATATTCATGCGCGTTGTTTTTGACTTATGAAAAGAAAAAGAAGATAAAGAATAATCGAGAATGTGTGTAGATACGACTGCAGATGTTCATAAGGAATAGATTGTTACTCACGCCAACAATCTCATTCATTCATCTACACCGACAACCATCAACCGCACACTCACGCCCACTCTGTAAAAATGGAGGCTATATACAATATATATGATAATATAGATGCTGGGACGTTTTTCTAGCAAAGCTGGCGATTGCGTGTGAGACATGGAATGGTATTTCAGTCGGAGGAGGATCCTGCATAGCAGGTGGATGAACATGACAGGGGGTGCAATGTTGAATAACTGAAGATTATTATGTCATTAACATGGACGAAGCGATTCGTTTTGTGAATACTCGCACAATTCACAAGTTCCATAGAAAAGAGTCATTTTTTTGCTAAAATTCAGTTTACAATAAAAAAAGATCATACACTGTATTTGACTATAGAAATAAAATAATATAAGAGTTTTGTGTTTGAATGCATTATCTTGTCAATTTTTACGAACTATAACATATGTGACAATAAAACAATATCCAACTTTTGCATCTTCAACAACATCAAAAGTGAGAGCAGAACCAAAAAATTCTTTCGGAGATTCTTTTTATCTTCATTAAATACGTCGTAAAATTTCTTTTCGCGGATTATTTCAGTGGTTGACAATCATAAAAATACTTAACCATTCCTTTTGCATTCTTTTTTTATTACTAATGAATATCTCTGTTGATCTTTCTTATTCTTCATAGCAACATCTACAATTGTTGACGAAAAAGGCACTATCGTCCAATTGAGAATAATAAAAGAAAATCTAGATAAGAAATAGAGACACTATAAAATGAGATACTTTTATAATTCTTCCATTCATAAATTTTTTCAAGCTATTCAAATATGGCACATTCATATCACAAATAACACATAATCACAGTCAATGGCAACTAGCAAACCAAGTGACACAAAAAAGATTCAGCCAACATCTGGGGTCTCCACGAGATCAACTGACATTCGACGTATGAACATGCAAAGAATGCAAAATGTCCTCTTGATCTGGTTGGACGGCAATATTAATGAGAATAATGCCGGTTGTAGTAATACAATCAAACAATTAAAACGTGTAGTTAACAACATAAACACGTTTACAGATGGTGACCAGTGTGTTGAATTTATTCAAAACATCAACAATAACAAAGTATGTATGATTGTTTCTGGTTCACTTGGAAAATATATTGTGCCGCATGTGCATGATATGTCTCAAGTAGATGCCATTTTTGTTTTTTGTAACAATCAACAATGGCATAAACAATGGGCCAAAGAATGGCCTAAAATAAAAGGAATCTTCACAGATATAACATCAATCTGTGAAGCTCTTAAACAAGCTTCTCACCAATGTGAGAAAAATGCCATTTCGATTAGTTTTGTGGCATCAAACAAGAAACTGGATCAATTAGATCCATCCTTCATGTATTCTCAGATCTTGAAAGAGATCTTATTAACAATCAACTTCGAAGACAAACATTTCAAAGAATTTATTACTTATTGCCGTGAAGTATATGAAGATGATGAAAACGAATTAAAAAATGTTAATCAATTACAAACAACATACAAAAACAACATACCCATATGGTGGTATACATGGGATGCATTTTTATATCGTATGCTCAATCAAGCATTAAGACAAATGGATGTTGACATTATTGTTCGAATGGGTTTCTTTATTAATGATCTACATCGTGATATTCAACGACTACATTCGAAACAATTCGGTGGCCATCAATCAGGTTTAACATTTACAGTTTACCGTGGACAAGGCCTTTCAAAAGAAGATTTCACTGAAATGTCAAAAACAAAAGGTGGACTTCTTTCATTCAATAATTTTCTATCGACTAGTAAAAATCGTAATGTTTCTCTTAATTTTGCACAACAAGCCACTACAAATCCTGATCTTGTTGGAATACTATTTGTTATATCAATTAATTCTACGATTTCAACAACTCCATTTGCTTCTGTTAGTGATGTTAGTTATTTTCATACAGAAGATGAAGTTCTCTTCTCTATGCATACCATTTTTCGTATTGGAGATATTGAAGCAATGGATGGAAATAATCATCTATATAATGTAAATTTAACATTGACGAATGATAACGACCAAGATCTTCGAACTCTTACTGATCATATACGACAGGAGACCTTTCCAGATAATGAAGGATGGGAGAGATTAGGATTACTGTTAATTAAAATGGGTCAGTTTAACAAGGCTCAAAAAGTTTATGAAATTTTACTTCATCAAACAACGGATGAAAGTGACAAGTCACCTATTTATCATCAATTAGGTTCGATCAAACGTAATCAAGGAGAATATCAAGAAGCACTTACATATTATGAAAAATCACTTGCTATTGATAAAAAAACACTTCCTTCCAATCATCTTAATTTGGGTGCTTCCTATGTCAACATCGGTAATGTGTATTACAACATGGGTGATTATCCAAAAGCACTTTCTTACTATGAGAAAGATCTTGCAATCAAACAACAATCACTTCCTTCCAATCATCCTGATTTGGGTGCTTCCTATAATAACATCGGTATGGTGTATTACAACATGGGTGATTATCCAAAATCACTTTCATCTTATGAAAAAGCCCTTGCAATTCAACAACAATCACTTCCTTCCAATCATCCTAATTTGGGTGCTTCCTATAACAACATCGGTGTGGTGTATGAGAATATGGGCAACTATTCAAAAGCTCATTCATTCTATGAACGTGCTGTACAAATCCAACAACAATCATTACCAACAAACCATCCTCATCTTAAAATCTGTAGAGAAAACGTCGAACGCACGAAAAAGAAATTATGATTTCTTGCTATATTCTTTGTTGAGTAAAATAAAACAGATGAAAAAGAAAATATGTCTCTATTGAAACTCTGTTTTTGTTGAGAACACAATATACGCAGTAACACTCATCGGTAAGGTAAACAATACACATTGAAAAGATACGTACTGTAGAAAAAACCTCCATGGTTACATTATTATGTCTACACAAATAGAGTTTCGTTATGTTAGATAAGAAAGATACTCAGAAGAAAAATAGAAGAATACAAGGAGAGAAAAACTTTATTTTAACAAAAGGATGAATTATTCTTTCTGTTCCAATTTTAAAAAGTCGTTCAGACTATTGATAGAGTCATTCATATCAAGTTTATGATATGATTTGTTATCATTTGTCTAAACTAGGTGTAGCGATTGCTAGATATTGAAATAAATGGAGAGTATTCATATGTCAGATGAGAGGTGAATAAAGGTTAAAGAGAAGTTTTTTTGTTCTATTGACAATTAAAGTAAATATTTTCTATAGGTATGTTGCAATAAAGATACGAATATATGATATTATAAAAGTATAAAATAGATCGTCAATTTACGTTTGCATCGTCCTAATTACGATTTTCTCAAGTAAATATCTATAGAATGGAAGAATAGAGGCATCTTATTTTGCATAACTTAAGACAACATTGAGAGTATACATTGATATTATGTGTAGTACTGATAGCATTTGTAGTTCTGCATTCTGTAATTTGCTCTATACAATAATTGATAGTTTCAATAGTACATAAACGCACAATATTGCATTAGTCAATAGACACATAAAGAAAATTTCAGTTTTCTCATAGTCTCAAATGCAATGTTCTCATCTTAATCAATAATGTAAAAATAATAAAGAATTGCTTTGGTATATGAAATTATTATCAAATAAGAACAAATCACTGTGAGAGTGATCAGAAAGTATTTATGTATATTTCATTTAGCAATGGATAGTAAAAACCATTATATCTAAACGATATATATTAACCATATATTTAACTCCTATAATTGTGTCAAATGGTACATCTAATACATTCACTTGAATTATCTTCTTTTTACTTCTCGATTAATGATTATTTCAATCAATATGTATATAGTCATCGTAGTCTTTCTCTGAGGTAGTAATCTCACATGATTAAGTAATATTCTTGCATGTTCTGTTTTTAAGATATTTAGAAATCTATTTATTTTTAACATGAATACAAATATCGTTTTTACTTTTCAAAATAACATTCAAATGATAAATTCTTATACAACTATTTATTTTTTTCAATAGATGAAAGTCCGTTTTATTCAAAGATATATTTTAATAAAATCATGTTTGAATTGCATTAATAGTAAGCATAAATTTCCTTCTTACAGATCTTAATGCAAATATTAGATATAGATTTCATTAACATTAATAGATATTCTTTAACTTCAAATAATAAAAATGTTATGACAATATTGACTTTTCATATCAAGCATATATATATCGAATTCTTGGAACAACTTCATTGAACACAAATATAAGTTTTTTTAATAAATAATTTGAGAAGACATTATAAGTAGTATTTCTTATTGATTATGAATGCAAATGAATTGATTATCGTCTAGAAACAAAAACGAGAAGAAATAATGATGTAAAAGTAGAGGATCAGAAAAAATAAACAAAAAAATCTTTGTAAAACAGATATTACAAATGTTAATTACTTAGAAAAACATTGCTTACATTTCTATATTTATGGACTAAATAATTACGATATTTAAGATGTTTTTCGATCGATACTACTAACTAAATCTAAATATTTGAACTTAGTATCGATGTTGAAGATAGTTATTATCAAGTGTCTTGCAAGAAAAAAAACAGATGTTTGATCGAGAACTAGGATCAGTACGTAACGTTCACTTTCAATATAAGGTCGTTTTTTCACCATATATTAATTTAAATTCTCGATATTAGATGAACTCATGTGTTGAATGAGTGTCACCTGTATTTTGTAAGTACATAAATTTGACTTCATTCTATCACAATCGTGAATGCTGAGAATTTTGTTAAAACCTTAAAATCGATCTTCGCATCGCATTTCGAAGACGAGTCTCGACTTGTGTGCCATCTAGTTATATGACATTTTTTATTTGATTCTGATCGAAAAGTCTTGAACTCTACATATGTGATTGAATCAATAATTTAAAACTAGTACCAATAGTCAAATCGATTTATTATTGGTCAGAGATTCTTTGTGTAACTCATGTTTTGTATAAAATAGTATGATTATCAACTTTTCTGTGGAGCATGTTATTTTTTGAATTGCAACAATAAATTCTGAAAATCATAGATGAAGAAATAAAATAGTATCTGTTATATTGATACTTAATCGTATAATAATCATCATTAACACGTTGACTGTCCGGTGTATCATATGTGATGCACGATACTTTGGACTGAGACGTCCCGTGCATCACATATGATACACGCGCTGCATATGATATTTAAACTATTGAAATATATCGGCACGATGTAAACAGTACCCGCGGGAGCTGGGGATGGGGAGCAATAGGAAGTTAGAGGGAGGGTGTCCCCCCCCCCCCCCCGATAATTCGAATTTTTTTTCCAACCACGGAAGCTGATTTGGAAAAAGTTTTGTGTTTTTTCTAGCAAGCTTTTCTCTGTAGTATTATTCTAAGAGAGACAATTGAATCATATGTGTTGCATGTAAAAAAAGCATCAAAGATATGCAGTGGTTTATCCAGCGGGGGGGGGGGGGCACGGGGCTTTTTGCCCCCTCGGAGGATACCTCTGCCCCCCCCGGAATTCAGAAAAATTACGCTTTTTGCGCCTGAAACTCTATGTTTGCCACCCCGAAGAGAGATTTTTGCCCCCCCCGGCAATTAGTTTTGCACCCTCGGACGAAAAAAGCTGGATAAAACACTGAAGATATGTTTAAAACTTATTTTTGTGGTATATGAACGTAATACACTTCAAAAATAATATATTTTAAAAGTACGAAAAAAAATAAAAAATGGACGTAGAACAAGTACTCATTTTTTTGTATGGGGACAGTCAACGTGTTAAGAAGAAAAAAAAATTGAATTCATATTCGTAAGTTGATCGAATGTTTGATACTATAAGAATAAAATAAAAAATATATACTGAATTTATACTTCATATTTTTTTCTATTGATACGTGAGTACTGTAGTATGACGTAACGGTCGTTGCTCTCTATTAATTATGAGTCTTGTTTTTTATTCGATCAATTATGACTCATTTACAAATTTCGTTAGGTTATTTTCTTTTCTTCCTATACTTTTATCTTTTCTATTCGTTATGACACAAAAGAAAAAAGAAATATAACCAAATATTGATGTGAATCAAAAAAAAATAAGAGAATTATACTTCCACTCACCAATAAAATATTATCGGTTCAATATTCTACCAGAATAAATTAAAGTCAAAAATAATTATTTGTACTAATTTGTTCGAATGTAAAAGTGAATAAAGGTATAGAAAAAAAAATCGTGATATTTTCCATCTAATAATCTGAGTCACTTCTATTTATTAAGTCACATCATCATTTTCCGTTTAAATTTCCAAGTCATTTATATTTTATCTGATGTTGGAAAAAAAACACCGTGTTGACACGCTGATTCATTGGTTAAACCACGTATGTTTACCTATTTGATTTCGTGATTTTTTATTATCAAACCACAAAATCACTTCCGCTCTTCTTAAACATATATATATTCAAGCATTTGCATAGCCATAATTAAGATTCAACATGGGTAACAGCTACGGATATGAACAAGCTGGTAAGTTTCTACAGATATTATTGTATCAAGCTGTTTATTCTTTTGTTTTAGAATATGGTTCTGCTCGACAAACTACTAAGAAAGACCTTTGGCTTCAAAACCAAACATTTCGTATCCATAGAAATGTGTATACACTACGTAATCGATTAGGTAAAGGAACATTCGGAAGTGTTTGGGCATCTACTACACGACAAGGTAAAATATCACTTTGATTTTTCGGAAAATCAGTCTAATTTAGTTAAAACATAACTGGATAAATTGCGAATCTTTTATTTGCAGGTCAAAATGCTGCTGTTAAAGTATTTAATTTTAATAAGTTCGAAGGAAAGGTTGATCCAAGTGCACTTTTAACCTCTTTTCAAGATGAAGTTAAAACGATTTTTGCAATACGTAATGCAAGAAATTATGTTGTAAATGTATATGATTTTGATTTCGATGCACAACGACGTGTGGCTTTATTGGCTATGGAATTGGGCAATGATTCATTACAAGATCGTGCTGAAATGCTTCATGAAACGACTTCGAGATCAAGAACATATGGTAATGATTATATCTCAGCAATAGATCGAAAGAATATCTGGATTCAATTAGTTACCATTGTTCGCGTACTTGATCAACATGGAATTGTAAGTTAGAAAATGAATTTCTTAGCTAAGATTCATTATTGAGTTCAAGAATCTGAAGTATTGATATAGAAGCATAAACATGATTAAAATATAAGAGAATATTTTCATGTAATATTATTTTATTTGATAAAACCTGGAAAATATTGTCTGAATATGTATATATAATTTGTAAATTTATTGATGCAAGACACTCGTCTCGTGTGTCATCATCGTTGTTTACGATTTATATACACTTCAATAACCACATTTTAATAGCTAAAACTAGACGATCGTACAAGGCCGTATTTTTTATTGTCTTACACCTGTATAATCATTAAAGGTGATATCTCTTATCTTAAATATAAAAATGTCTTTCGGTGTAGTAACTGTAGATGAATAAATAGATTTTTATGCCTTAGACAATTATTATTATTGTTGAATTTCATTATAGGTTCATTGTGATTTAAAACCAGCTAATTTTGTATTCTTTGGCCCAAGATTAAAAGTTATTGATTTGGGTATTGCACAGAAAGCATTAAGAGGGTAAGTTCAGCGATAGATTATGTTCTATTCTTATCATTCTATTTAGATACACTGATCATCTGACAGCGAGTGGTGGCACACGTGGTTACAGTGCACCAGAATGTTTTGACTCTGGAGCACGGATATCAAGAAAAGCTGATATATGGTCATTAGGTACTATTCTATATTATTTAACTTATGGAGTGGGATGTAACGATGAGAGTCCACAACCTCCAGAACGTGTCCCACAAACTCGATCTACTCTTGTTCAACATCTATTTAATCATTGTCTTCAAAGAGATCCTAATAGACGACCCACGCATCGGTGGCTTGCCCATCATCCATTAACAGCCAGTGCTGCAACCGTATGAACAGATATCCATTTATTTTTTTATATAAAATTCACGAGAGAAATATATTATCACAATTAAAAAGAATCTCTATAATTTTTGCACTGATGAATATACAAATCTTGAATTCAATGAGTAAAAACAGTTCTTGTTCTATTTATAACAGAAAAAAACATGAAAATATGATTTATTATTCAAGCTTCACTTGTTCATTTTGTCATAAAATAATAAATATTTAATTAATTTCGTACTATGTTCTTTGTATTTGAATAGGATATTTATTTATATGTAGCATGAAATATTTTATTTTTATTTGAAAAGTTAAGTCTCGATTAAAGTTTGTTCGTTTATTGAATTATGATGATTGAATAATACTATATAGAATCTGTCCAATACGTGTATTATCAATAAAAGCTTTTCTATAAACTGTCGATGGTTGTATAAAAAGATAATAGCTAAGCATTTGTGGTACAAATGATACAAAATGCATAATTATCATTGATGTTCGAATAGGTGTATTGTCCCATTGATGGCATTTTATAATTAATATCATAAGTAATTCCGGTGCTGAACACATAATTATTAATATTGGACATGCTAATTGTTCATAATATTGTTTAATTTGTTTCCAGATTTCGGAAACGAAATTAGTTTTATGAATATTAGATTTACTACGAGCAACTGTACGTATAATAGTTATTACAGCATAAATATTTAAAAGAAAAGGTATAATATGATTAGTAATACGAAAAATTGTTTCAAATATATTCCATTGATGATCGAGAATCTCTACAGTACATATAAAATAGTTTGGTTTACGTGGATCATTAATAAGACGATGAAAAATAACTTCAGTTGCATTCAATGATAATATCGTAATAATAATAATCAAGAGCCAAATGTATTGTTTTCGTGAATAGATATGTATTTGATTAGTAAGACGAGCACGACTAATTGATAAAAAAGCAGTAAACCATTTACTTATATAAGAAAAACAATTCAAGATATAAGATGAAGATTTACAAAAAAAATAAATTGATAAATGAATTACTCAAAATATTATATTGATTAAGAATAATATAAATAATTTGTATAAGTAAACATATTAATATTAATTGATTAACAATTGCTGTCATTTGAATATAACGAGAAATTATTGATCGGGTATTTTTTTGTTGATTCAATGCTAAATAAGTACATGTATTACTCAGTAAACCTACTATGGTCATTATAATACAAATACTCATATAAATCCAAGTGATAGATTTCGGACCAGATTGAGTCGTAAAATTGATTTCTAAATAATAAAATTTAAATAGTAAGTGTAAGGTATAGGACAAGGATTTTCGACTTCTTATTCATCAATCTACTATATCTGAAATAGATGATCTTTAACTTACCATTATGTGTAGAAGTTACATCTAGAATTAATAAGGATTCAAATGAGTATTTTAATCGATCCATTCGAAATTCACATAATGCACCATAGATACAAGGTTTACATCGACAAATGAATTCTTTTTTATTTGTTTTTCGTTCACCTGCATAACATTGACCATCATTTAGACATTCATTACAACGATCATATTTAAAATCATATATGAAACATAATGATCGTCGTGTTGTTTCATTACAAAAACAGAAATATATATGAGGATCATAGAAACATATTGTCTTGGTCTTCTTCTCTTGTAATTGTTGACAAGGACGATGATAACGTTTCATAACAAATAATAAAGCATCATATGAATAATTCGTTGGAATTAAATCAAATTCTTTTGCATGTATACATTTAATTTTATTTTGTTGAGTTAAATTTTTTTCAGAAGAATTATGAGATAAATATAATAAATATATATTGGAAAATATTGGTTCATGTTCTTTTAATAATCCAATCGAGGGTAATTGTAAATCATTATGAAGTATAGTTTCTGAACTTTTTAACATTAAATGTTGTCGTTCAATATTAAGCTGCATTTTCAACAGATCATAATTGAGTAATTGAACGATACGTATTGTTGATGATGAAATTGTTTCATTTCGTAAATCTAATAATAATTTAGCTTTTTCATACTGACAATATTCACCAAAATGATTACTGGAACATATACATCGATATTCATGATTATAAAAGTCATTTGTATAGGAAATACAAGTACCGTAATTCTGACAAAAGTTTATTGGACAACGTGGAGTTTGTAAATGACAAGTAGGACCATATTGTTGAGATGTACAAATACAAGTAATATATTGATTTGCAAGTATCAAACATTTACTATTAGATGCACAAGAACAGTTGCTTGAATTTTGTTTATAATGATTATTGAATTGATTAGAATATGAATCATCGTCGTTGTATCGTAAAACAATAGCAATACGGAAGGCAGGTAAATATGAATGTTTAATAGGATATTGTGTAACAAATAAACGTCTTATTGTACTATTATCGATAGCATATAAACGAAATTGTACCGCATACTGAGATGTTGCTTGTCGTAAATCAGAATACTGAGAGCGAGGATAGTTTAAATAGATACGATGTTTACCCATATATGATGGTAGTTGTGTTAAAACTATATGATCAATTGTTTCATTTTGATTTATTAACAATACAATTATTCGAATAAGATCAGTTTTGATAATTCCTATTTGTAAAGTAAATATAACTGTTAAACGATGACTATGTTTTTCACATCGATGACCAAAGAAACTTGGAGGACAAAGACATGCAAGTTTATCATAACGACGTACAAGTAAACCACGATCACAAAACCATGCCGGTGTACGATTCAATTGTGTCTGATTCATTTCTGGTAATGGAAAGAAACGTTGTTCAAATGTCTTATGATTATATTTACGTGGACGTACACACATATGTTTATCTTTATGAGATACTCCACAGGATGCGTGGTCATGACGACATCGATCTTCATGTGGTATACAGGGACCAAAATCATCTCGTTCTTGACAAGCAAATGTTTTTGGTTTACAAAAACTTGAATTAAACGATGGTCTTGATCCGCACCAAAATTCATTTTCATCTTCACCATCTGCACAATCGTTAACATGGTTACATAAATACATTGGGTTTAAACATGTTATTTTATCATTACAAAGAAAACGTTCATTTAATGGAAATCCATCATTACATGCATATGTTACACGTTCATCAATACCTCCCGAACAATCAACATGACCATTACCAGCAATCATATTACTTTCGTTTAATAAAATAATTTTACCTGTTTTCAATAATAAACAATTAGGTATTGGATATTGTTCGGAACGATTACAATTAAATTCATCACTTCCATCAGTATAATCCCATATTCCATTACATTGCCATGCAGGATTAATACAATTACCACTCCATTGATTAAGATTTGTTTGTTGTTTAGTATAACCTGGCTCACAAATCCATTCATTACAATCGGTTTCATCAGATCCATTTCGTAAATCCCATATTGAATCACATAGACTATTAAATCGTAAGACATGAATCGGTTGATCTTCTTTATTAGCATTATATAAATCTCGAAAAAGAATACACGCTGAATCACTTGATTTGAAACACTGTTGTTGTTGCCAATTAATTGAAAGACTCATTTCATCAGCACCATTCATACACTGATTGATTCCATCACCTATGTAAAAACAACAATGTATTTTACTTTTGTTTCTCATTACATACCGAGAAAATGACGCATTACTGCAGTAGATTTGTCACCATTTTGAGTACAATTATATCGATCTTTCATAAAGAATGGTTCTAATGAATCAAGAGCTTCTAAATCATTTTCATCGGATGCATCCAAACAATCAATAAATCCATCAAATAAACGATATTTTGATATACATTCACCTGATGTTCGACAAAGATAAAAAAATGTCGTATTTGTACAATAATCTATAGAATCATTTATTGTTTGACAAAATAAATATTCGTATGGAGGAAATGGATAACTTTTTTCAAATATATCATCATATTTAAAACATGTCGAACCATTGTGTGTAACTTTAATACCTCGACAAGTATATTCACCTGTCAAACAGAACAGACCAGGTTGTTTCATTTTCATCTTTGCAAAAAAATCAAGTTCCCCGGTTATTTGAAATTGAAGTGGTACATGATAAGCACGAATAAATGGTGATAAGAATGCAATTCCTGATGCATATTTAATTAAAGTATGATTTTGACATAGATAATGTGCATGTGCAGCTGCATATTTACTTCGATTAAAAAGCATTTCAAGTGATTTACAAGTTGGATGTAAAGTAGCAAAACATTTAATCATTAACACACATTTATCATCGATTTCAGTTAATTCACGAATATCTGTTGTACAACGACCATTATTTCCAGTAATACTAAAATCAACACTTATACTATTCACTAGTTCTAACTCACAATTATATACATGTGTATAATAATTATGACAATCAAATCCATTCCAGAATCTCTGATACCATGGAACACATTCTCCATCTCCACATGAAATCATATCACGTCCACACCAATGTTCATCACAATCAAAACTTGCTTGTTCATAACATGTTTGGAAATTATGATACTTTTTATGTATAAGTAAATTTTGTTCATCACTTAAATCAGTACAATCACCTTGATCATCAAAAAGAAATTGACGATCAATACAAAAACCATTACGACATCGAAATTCATTAGATTCACATATATTTGTCTCAATTTGATCACAATAAAGTTCATCATGACCATTAATTGTATCGAATTCTCCATCACATATATCTCGATAATCTAAACATCGTTCATTATTTTCAATTTCAAGATCATAACAAGGTAGTAATCGTTCTTTAGGATAATATGTTTTCTTTTCATTAATACTAGAATTAATAAGATTTTCTATTGTATATATTCCTTCTTCAAATTCATATTCACAATAACGTCCAAATACGCTGACTGATGAACAGTTACAGATGAAAAAGTTTCTATGATCATTATATAGATTGTTTGATAGAAATGCTCCATATAGATCGGCAATATCTAATGGTATATGCCATTGAAGTAATTGGTTAACACTCACGTTTGTCATTTCCAATCGCTCGAATGTTATTTGTTTGCCGGTATAACAATTATTTGACCAAGATTCATTAAATAAGTCGTCTACTCGCAGACAATAAGAAAGACGATCATCAGTATCTTCGTCAATATTGTGAACGACGAAACAATCTCTATACGATCGATTTTGATCAGAAGTATGTTCGAGAATAGAGAACGAACAAGTAAACGAAAAAAAACTGAGGAAAAACAATAATAATTGAAGACAATAATTAATCATAGTTATAACTACGAGAAATGTATCAACATTTTGTGTTCATTCTCTTAGACAATAACAAAAAAACATCTATGACATAGAATGTTATTTATAATGTATATAAATCGTGATATTATATTTATGTTTATAGACGTGATTTTTTTTTGTATTCATTAAAAGCACGTCCGTATATCTAATAAATTACGTTTTTACTTTATCTTTAAATATCAGGTATAGATAATAACGGTAAAAACCAATAAATATTAAGTTTTTAAATCATGATTATAATCGATTACAACGATGTGAAGGAAAAAAATGAAAAAATGGATTTTTTTTTTCATTTTGTCTTTGTTATTTCATTTATTCACTATATAAATAAGTGGCTTCTATTTAATAAATAAAATATATTGAAAAGATAAAGCTATCTTGAAGAATGCATCCTTATTAAACAATTGTTTTTAAATCATATTTTATTCCATGATATAGATTGAGTCTACAATGATAGTCAGCGATGCAACATAAGCTTATTATTTCAATAAAGAACTAAACGTGTGTTTTAATTCAGTTGCCATTTATTATAATCATGCTTTCCTCTTCCTGTATGATGAGGTTGACTATCTTCCATCATACAATCAATTGATCGTGGTGAACGTGAAAGTTTCTTTTAAATGTTTTTTCTACTTGATTAAAATTCTTTATATTATATTAAAAGCACAGTATTATATGTGTTTTCTCGGCTAAGATGCTAAATGTGACATAAATGATGCCAGTCAGAAATATATATTGAATAAAGATAGTAAAAACTCAGTTAATAAGAAATAAAAAAGCATAGCACAACAATAGAATGACTTGTGCAAAAATATTTTTCGAAAGTTTATAATGTTGAAAATAGTTTCTGAAATAGAATTGAGATATATGTTGTCTTTTTAAGCACGAATTATGTAATGAACCGTTTGATAAGGTGGCATCTTGTCCATTGCTTGACTGGAACCTTCTGTATCTGTTGAACCTTGTATTGTGTGTATATGACTTCCATCCGACTGCATTGTAATATTAGTAGTGCCGACATAAATCGTATGACTGTGAGCTGCATTATCAGTACCTACACCATTACTGGGAACCATACCAGAAGTGCCGTTAGAAAATGGTCCATCGCCTGTTGATCCTCCGTGATCATGTCCAGGATCGACAATCGCGTGTGTGTGTACACCACTATAGAGTGTTTGTAGAGAACCTTGAGTATGCGAGTGTATAGGTAACTCTGCGATACTCATGAAATGTATCGATGTACCACCAGCAACTAATGAACTGCTATAGGTGCTGTTACTACCCAATGGAAATCGACTACGAAAATCAGGTATATTGAAAGTATCATTTCCATTGCCTGATCCATACGTAATACCAATTGCTTCGAATAAGTCTTGATAGATCGTACGAGATACTTCTGATCCATCACAGAGTAACCAACGAAAAGTCGATCCGTTCAAAATCGTTAAATTGCCGCTATATAAAAGAATAGTACCCGGAGGAAGTTCTAAAATGAGAACCGTTCAAATGTTAAAAAATATACTATGACTAACTCAATACTAAATGAGTAAAAAGGATATGTTAAAACAAGTACTTACCATTTGTTACGACTATTCCTGTATGATGACGCGGTGCCAACCATAGTACGAGGACAGTAATAAGTAATAGAATATTCGTGGCTACACCCGATAGTACACCTTTAAGAATAGGTAATATTTTTGATTTACAATATTTTCCATATTGAAATGTTGATTTCGGCCTTTCAGATAGAAATACAAAGATAAAGTATTGATATCATTCATAAATCATGCTTACTTTTTCGTCTCTGAATCACTTGACTCACATCGATCAACATCTATGGTCACATCAGCAGCGCTTCTACAAATTGTATTCCGGTTTTGCATTTCATCATGTTCGGGCATTTCCCATTCGCTAAGTCGTGGGTTTTGAGGAGATCGTGCAACCATGATCGATGTTGAATTCTAACCAAATGCAGTCTTTCAAGAAAATAATCAATAAAAATATTTTGTTTTTCTTGTATATTCTTTACTTTCGCTGACGCAAATAATTAACACTTATAAGAAATCTGTATTCGTCTTCGATACAAAAGGAAAACATAATACTGTATCATGAATCCTGCTGTAATTTTGGATTATTATTATTACTTACACAATGTTGCATCAACTTTATTTTTCAATTTGCAAGATTTTTTTTCTATTATAATTTTCAGTCAATATATTGCACACCAACCTCCGCATGGCAAATAAATACATGTTGAAAATTGGTCTTATCTTTTATGAAATATCAAATGAAAATATAGTCATTCAGGATCAGTAAAATGATCATATTATTATTTTAGATTTTGTAAGAGACGTTGAAACTTTCTACTCGATTTTAAGTTATTGTTGTCTGCTAATTTCAAACACATATTGATATTTTTCCTCGTTGAGGAGAAAAAAAAGACATTTCGAAAGTATAAGAAAGTTACATTGACATTCATACCTTTCAAGATGCATGCAGTTGAATCTAAACATTTTTTGTTTGATACATTTTCATTCGATGAATTTTCATCTTTGTAATTATTAGTATTGACAAAGTTTAAAATCAAAACAGATTGGTTTATCAAGGATAGGTGTAACTTTTCTTTTACTCACACCCACACCCTCAAGATAGAGGAGTTGTCGACGAAATTGGTGTTGTAGGAAAACATCGAAAAGGAAAACGTCGAAAGAGAAAAATTTAGAAAAA